GTCGGGAGAAATATCTGGAGCAGAAATGCAGGTGCCCAGTTTTGAAGGAACGCTCTGGAGAGTCTGGAGCCTTCCATGCTCCTCCGTGCCTTCACTGCTGTTTCTGCCTCCTGGCACGGGGCAGGGTGAGGCTGGGCCAGCAGCGGGACAGTAAAGGTACTCTCCGTCGCAGGTGGGCGTCTCCACTGCCCCTGGTGCCCGGGCTGAGGAGCCGAGTTCCCCTTTCCGGTGTGCCCGCGGTGGGTGGGAGGCCCCGCTGCTGCACTTCTGCGGAGACCCCTGCTGGGAACCGGTCTCGAGCAAACATTCACAGACACTTCAGGTGGACTTGCCGTGCAGGGGTGACTCAGGCCAGCTCGTGGGCCGCAAGTGTAGAGCGAACACAGCGTGGTCCCCAGAGGTGAGACTTGTGTGCAGGACACTGAGCCGAGGACTTGGAGTGAGCTCTGGGGGCGTGGGGTGGGGGGGAACTTAGCATCATGTGGTCAGAGAACAGAGGCGGCCCCAGAGGCCAGGGCTTCTTCCGGCTGGGGGAGGCCTCTCCTTCACCCCAGCTATTATGGAACTTGGGAGAAGGGCTGGGGCCCTTGGCCACCCAGCAGGTTGAGCCCTGCACAGGGCAGTGTCCCTAGATCTCAGGGATGGAACTGGAGAATGGGCAGGCAGGGAAGGGGCTCTCTGATGCACCGTCTCTGTAGATATTCCCCCCGTCCTCCGTGAGCTCCTCGGTGGTAGGGGCTCCCTGGCCATCACCTGGGCTGTCTCCTCTCATACCCATCCTTCTGGGCATTGAGGCTGGCCCACCTTTGTGTTGTGACCCTGGAGGGCTCCCAGGGGCCCACCTGAGCGATGGTTGGGGTGGGGTGGCCACACTCCCTGGGAGTCCTGACGTTGAGATGTAGCCCTGCACGTCTAGCCAGGGACCGGAGGCAGAGTGTCCTGGGGCGCTGTGTTCTTTCACCTGCTCGGGCCTGCCCGCGGGACGTGTAAGGTGCAGAGTCCTGGGCCGTGACCCAGACCTTCAGACAGCTGCACGGGGAGCTCCTGGCAGTTCTCACTGTAGAGAGGGAAGAACCACTCCTGGGTTTCCGAAGCCTTTGGAGTCCAGGATAGAGAACAAAAAGCATCAGTGTGTTGGGTGCTCGTGTCTGAAACTTGCACCGTTGCCCCAGGACTCAGGGGGTACCAGGTAATGGTAAGTTCTCATTGCTTCTGGAGATGACACCTGTTTGAACAGGATGGCCAAGTCCTCAAGGCCTCTGAGCCCCTGGGAGGGTGGGGACCTGCCCCTGGGGACCCTGGGTTCAGGTGGATTCTTGGCTGTTCACCCTGAGCTGGGGAGCCTGGCTAGGTGAGTGTGGGGTTGCCCTGGCATCCAGGGAGTGTACCTGGGAGTGGGGGAGTGAACTTGAGGGGGTCCCGGGGCAGGGATGGGGGTCCCTGGGGGTGCACCCGAGGTTGGGTGGTTCTCCCTGTGGCCCTGGGCCCCCCATGTGTACGAGTTCCTGGTGGGTTTGGAGGAGGGAATACCAGTCTGTCTGCTGAAGCCATTTGGCCTGTGCGCCCTGCGGCGGTTTTCCGGGGGTGGGGGGAGTTGCAGCTCTGCCTCCTGGCTGACCGGTTCATTTGGCCCCTTGGGAACGTTGAGGGGGCCGGCCCAGGACCTTGTAACTCCTGGGACCACCACCCTCCCTGCCTTTGAAACTCTCAAATTCTTGCAGCTGCCCCTCGCCCCTGCCATCGCACGGAGCCCCCACAGACCCTCCAGCCTGGCTTTGGAGGGGTTCACTGCTGTCCCCCTGGTTTTCCCCGCGTCACGGAAATAAGCGTGGGTGCGTGGAAGGCGGGGACAGGCCTGCTCACGAGGCCACAGTTCACTTTGCTGAGGCTCTGTGCTTCCTGTGGGTGGGGTCTCTGCAGTCACCTGGCTCTTCTGCGGCTCATCCTGGGGGGAGTGTGGGAGCACTTCCTGCTTGGATGGTCTCTGGGCTGCATGTGCTGGGAGTCTGGTGGCTTTTCCTCGGGGTCCCTGGACCACCCCCCACAAGGCTGGTTTCACATCTTGGGAACTTGTTGCGCCCGCTGGGAACTGGAGGGTGTCCCTGCCCGGATCCACACCCTCTACGCACTCTCCTTGAAAGGCCAGGCCGCGCAGGAGCAGAGTTCTCCCTCCGTCTGTCAGCCCCGCCACCCTCTGCACCCAGGGCATCCCTACCCGGCCTGAGCCACAGGGCTCCTTAGCGTGGCTCCTTAGCACGCGTGTCCTCCCCACCCTCCCACGATGCCTGCCTCCCGGGCTTCCTGCTTATTTAAAAAGAAGGGTACATCAGTGCCTTAAATGGAGAGCCAGTGTCACTTGACTTATAGAAACATAGTAACAAAGGGAAACAGCAGCAAACCGAAACCGGAAACTGGACTGGGTCTGACCCCCTGCTGCTCTCTGCTGGAGTAGGCTTAGCCGGTTTGGGAAGCTGCTGTTCACACCTGGGCCAAACAAACCCAAAGTGCCCCCGGGTGCGGCTGCCCTTGGGGGACACCTGGCAGCCCACGCTCCTCCTGCCGCCTCTCAAGGCTCCAGGGTCATTAGGCTGAAGGCCTCTGTCCCATGTGGTCCCTTCCTGTCACCTTGTCACCCTCTCCTCCAGAGGCTCCTGCTTGTCCCTTTGCCCTCCTTGCCCGCAGTCAGTGTCACCCCCAGGCTCGTCTGCCACGTCCTCCGGTGTTGTGCACGGAGCCCCCCCCCCCCCCCCAGCGACGGGACAGCGCCCCCAGGCTGCAGCTCGCTGACTGTGGCCAGGTGTGTGCCAGGCGGCCCGGCAAGGTCTCTTCCTGCCATCTTGGGGCAGCTGGGTCTCCGCACAGGGATGTGTGCAGGTGCCGTGACAGCAGCCGCCGGAGCAGGCTGTCCCCGAGACCTCTCCCGGGGAGGGATTCGTGCCCACCCCACAGTCCATAGCCATTACCGCCGCTGTGAGCACTTGAAATGAGTCTGGTGTGCTTGAGGACTGGATTTTAAGTTGTATTTGGCTTTAGTTGATGTTTAAAGAGCCAATCCCGTGGTGGGTGAGGTATGGGGTGAGGTCGTCCCGGTAGCCCCCGGAGGTGGTGACAGCCCAGTGGGTGCGCCCGGCATCTGGGTTGCTACGGGCTCCGGGGGATTCTCAGGGCTGGGGCCTCTGGGCTCTTCTCCCCGTGTGGACGTTGGGTCCTAACTCCGTGAAAGAAGGGGACGCTCTTCGGTGTTGTTTCTGGGGGGCAGGCAGGGTGGTGTCCACGGGCTGCCGGTTGAGCCGCCCCGATTCTTGCCTCGTCTGTTTCAGGAACAGCCTCCTCTCCTGCAGGGCTGTGGGCGGCCTGGACAGCAAGCATGGTGCCCTCCGGCCAGGTGGCGGAGAAGCAGGAGCCCCCGGAGCTTGGGCGGCACCCTGAGCTCAAATCCTGGAGGTGCCTGGTGTTCTACCTGTGTTTCTATGGCTTCATGGCACAGATGCGGCCCGGGGAGAGCTTCATCACCCCCTACCTCCTGGGCACCGATAAGAACTTCACGCAGGAGCAGGTGCGTGGGCGCGGCATGTGGGGGCGCCCCGGGCCCGAGGTGGCTGAGCCTGCGAGGGCAGGTGGCTATGGGGGTCAGGGGTCCCGATCCCGGCCCCCCTGAGGGCCGCCTCCACACCGAGGGTCAGGCTGTCACTGACCAGGCCAGTTCGAGAGGGATGGCAGTCGAGAGGGATGGCAGCCGAGAGGGATGGCAGCCGAGAGGGATGGCAGCCGAGAGGGATGGCAGCCGAGAGGGATGGCAGCCGAGAGGGATGGCTGGCTGCCCCAGCCGGAGGGGGAGGACCCCGCCCCCGCGGGCTCACCTGCTGAGACGGCTTGCTGGCAGCCTTGGAGGACTGAGGAATTTCCCTTTGATGAGGCAGCCAGGACAGAGGGTCTCCTTGAAACTTGACTAATGAGCTTACACCCTGGGGCAGCAACCGATTACACACCTCCAGCCTTTCCTTCTCCACAAAACTAAAGGACCCAAGGGCTGTTGGTCAATGAATCCCTCGGTCAGGGCTTCTGTGCCAGCTCTGCTTACCGCCTGGCTCTCCTGCCCGACCTGTTCCCGGCCCAGGCTCCCTGCTCACTCATCCCTGCCCTTCGGCCTCTGGCCACCCGTCCCCTCCAGCGTGTGCGCCAGCCCCTGTGTCCCCTGTCACCGTGTCTGAACTGTGGGTCATGCTGAGCTGCTGCCTTCCTTGCTCCCTGAGAGCTTGTCACCGTCCCCTTGCACACCTGAGACTTGTTTAAGTCAAGTGGCGTTGCCGAGGCCTGACCCTCAAAGTAGCCGCCTTGGGAAAGATGGAAATACCCGCCTGACCGGCTCGCAGGAGGTCTAACCCTGCATGTGACAGCACCTGATCCCAGAGCCAGTCACTTCCGCGGGGGGGGGGGGGGGCCGGTGCCCCCCCAACCCCCACTCAGGCTCTCTGGCCCTCCTCCCGCGCTCACTGGTGGGCCGGGTGGCTGTCGCTCTCAGGAGCACTGCTGTCCGGAGGGGCGGCCGGCCCTCATCGGAATAAGCGCGTATGCGAAGCTCCATTCAAATAACAAGAAAAACAAGAAAAATGTCTGCAGCAAAGTTATAAAGCTCATCTGCCTGCTCTCCAGTTGCACGTGAACTGATCGAATACAGATGATCCTTGAACTTGGGGCTTAGGGGTGCCCAACCCCTGTGCAGTTAGTTACTGATAGCCCACGGTTGACCAGGAGCCTTGCCGACAGCGTGAACAGTTAACACGTATTCCCTGTGTCATGTGTGTTCCATATTTTATCCTTATAGCAATGGAAGCTAGAGAAAAAAGTGTTTTTAAGAACATCGTAAGGAAGAGAAAACAATGTGGCACTTGGACTATATTTACTGAAAACAAGCTGGAGACAAGGGGACCCACGCAGTTCAGACTGTGGTTCAAGTGTCCGCTGTGGGGGGTTCCAGACATTCAGCCAGACCACCAGCCCCGTGGACGCCATCAGACGGGCAGCAGAGGCGGGCAGGCTGTGCTCACGGCTGCTCGGCGGGGCCCACGGGTGGCGCAGCTGTGAGCTGGCTGGCTTGTGTCCGCACAGCCGCTGCGGCTTCTCGCTGCTGGGCCGACTGGGGACGCTGGTCCCCACAGGCTCGGGCTGATGTGACATTCATGCACCCTGGGGGTGGAACCGCAGAGCTTTCACCCGGTGCTTAGGTGGCCTCCAGGCTGTCCCTACCCCAGCCCCCGGCAGGTGTACTGGGCCTGGCCACGCACACGTGGCTTCCGTTTCCCTCGCCAGCATCTGATTGGTGCTGTTGAGTTTCTGCCCATCTGATCGCAGCGAACAGCCGGTGTGCTGCTGGATTGTGTTTCTCTGCTCTCCGTGTGGTCCGCGGGGCCTGGCTGTCACCTGGCTGTCTCTGTGCTCGCAGGCCAGCCTCCGTGTCCTCCTCCGGGGCTGTCTGCCTTCTGGTTGCCCTTTGGGGTCACGTGTTTCTCCTAGTCTGGGCTGGTCTCCCCCGCTTTGTAAGCTTTAGTCTGGCCAGATGGTCCACGGTTCATGCTGTGAGGTCGCCTGACATGGCCCCCCCTCCGCCGCAGACTTAGGAAGTGCCTTGGGGAGGGGACGGGTCCTGCTCTGCACCCGCAGGCCTGTCATTCCTTTGCATCCAGGCTGCCTGGCTGAGTCCTGCTGCCGCAGCCCCCACGGAAAGCCCCCGCCCGGGACCACTGACCGCCATCCTCACGGGGCTGACACCACCTGGTGCCCTCCTCAGTGAAGGTCCCCGTGTCATTCCCGCCCTCGCCTCAGGCGGTTCTCCATGCGCGTACAGGCTCCGCCTGGCATCAGCTCTGGTGTTTCCTCCCGGAGTTTGGGTAGGCCGTGGCTCTGCCCTGCCCCCTTCGTCCCCCTCCTCAGAACCCGCTGGTCTCCATCCTGGTGCCCCATCCTCCCTGCCTTCCCACGGCTGCTGTGGGGCCCGGCCGAGCCGGCCCGATCCGAGAAGGAGCAGCCCGGAAGCCACCTGGATCTAGGTCTGGGCACGGTTTCCACGCTTTCCCCGTCAGCCTGGACCAGACCCTAGCGGGATGGGAATGCGTCCAGGCGACGCTAGGCTCGGGCCGGGACGAGGCTGACCTCGTGCCAGGGCCGGGCCACGTGACAGCTGCCGTCTGCCCTGGGGACCTCGTGGGTGCCCTCTCCTCCAGGAACTTCCCCGTGTGACATGGGTCAGCCGTTTGCCAGGCCTGAGGGGAAGCCGAGTGGGGCTGCGGGGCGGGGCTGGGGGTCGTTAGGAGACATCGTAAGTGAGGGCCGTTTGATGTTCTTGGAGACTGTAAACACGGTTCCAGACCCCCCTGCAGCTGGGACCCTGTGGCTCTTGGTGACCAAGTGCAGGTTCATCTTTCCCCTGGGGCCCACCTGCACCGAGTGTCCCAGAATGTCCTGGGGCTTTTGTGCACGGTGTCTCGGGGGCCACGGCCTGGGGGTCATCCTCAGCTTCCCATGGCCATGTGGGTTTAAGAGGCCACCAGCCAGGGAAGTTCTGTCACGGGCCCCTGTGTCTCAGAGCTGGGTCTCCCGACGGCCTTCCTTGGGCCCTGAGGCTTGTCCCATGCACGAGGGCAGAAACAGGTCTCCACACTCGGCCCGGGACCATCTGTGGCCAGCCGGGCCCATCACGCAGCATCCCCTGGGCGGGCAGGCGCCGGGGCCGCAGAACTCCCCGGCTGAACCATCTGAAGCGCTGGGTCCACGTGGCGTCCCAGAGCCTGGTAGGTGGTGGGCACGGCCCCCCCGTGCTGACCCAGGGTCGACTCCGGGGCCTCGGAGCCTGCTGGTTTTCGGGGCCGAGGGCCCCCTGGGCTGTCTCCGGGATTGCTCTGTGGTCCGAGTCAGGTTTGGCGCCCTGAGTCCGGTGGGTCCCCAGGGAGGCTGCAGCCTCTGGGGGCCCACCTGTGCCTGCCCCGGTGGATCCGAGCCACGGCCAGAGCCCCGTGGTGGGGTCCAGTGGCATTGGGTGCACGGGCTTCCCACCCAGTGTCCCTGTGCCCCGGGACCGAGTGAGGGTGGTGGCCGGTGCCCTCCCCCAGCAGACAGGCGTGAGGGGGGCCTGGCCGGGCCCTGCTGTTGCCTCTGGCCCGGTTCCCTTTTCCTTGTGGTTTCTTCCCTTCCTTCTGGTCTGTGAAACCTGTTGTGCGCACTCGTCGTCTGCGGCCTTTCCTTCTGAGACCGGAGTGTAAGTTGGTCACAACTGTGACCAAGGAGAAGCCACATCGTGTTTCTGTATCACGAGGAACAAACAAAGCTGGGTTAGCACGTGACAGCGTCATGACTGCTCGTTAGCGAGGCAGTCCCCGGCGTCCCGGGCCCGCCGTCCCGTGCGAGGCAGCCCCCGGCGTCCTGTGCTGGGAGCGGCGTGCCCGCGGGGCCGGCGTGCCGTGGTGTGGACGTGGTTGGCGCGCCGGGCCGCCAGGCGCAGTCCCGACGGCCGTGTGTTTTTATCGGATGTAGTAAGGCGGGAAAACGCCGACGGCCCGGGGGCGGGGGGCGGCCGGGGCGCTCGAGGGGCCGCGGTGTCACGAGCCTGCCGTCCCACAGGTCACCAACGAGATCACGCCGGTGCTGTCCTACTCCTACCTGGCGGTGCTGGTGCCCGTCTTCCTGCTCACCGACTACCTGCGCTACAAGCCGGTGCTGGTGCTGCAGGGCCTGAGCTACATCTCCGTGTGGCTGCTGCTGCTGCTGGGCGACTCCGTGCTGCACATGCAGTTCATGGAGCTCTTCTACAGCCTCACCATGGCCGCCCGCATCGCCTACTCCTCCTACGTCTTCTCGCTCGTGTGCCCGGCCCGCTACCAGCGCATGGCCGGCTACTCGCGCACGGCCGTGCTGCTGGGCGTCTTCGCCAGCTCCGTGCTGGGCCAGCTGCTGGTCACCGTGGGCCGGGTCCCCTTCTCCACGGTCAACTACATCTCCCTGGGCTTCCTCACCTTCAGCCTGGTCCTCGCCCTCTTCCTGAAGCGCCCCAAGCGCAGCCTCTTCTTCAACCGCGCCGCCCCCGCGCGCCACGGGGCCTCGCCTTCCGAGCTGGACCGCATGAACCCGGCCCCCTCCCAGCCCGCGGACGCCAAGCCGGGCCGGGCGCTGCTGGGGGCCTGGCGGGACTGGACCCTGGTGCGCATGCTCCGGGAGCTGGGGGACCACCTGCGGCTGCCGCAGCTGCGCCTCTGGTCCCTCTGGTGGGTCTTCAACTCGGCCGCCTACTACCTGATCGTCTACTACGTGCACATCCTGTGGAACGTGGTCCACCCCACCACGGACGCCTCCTCTGTCTACAACGGGGGGGCGGATGCCGCGTCCACCCTGCTCGGTACGCCCACGGCCCCGCCGGCCTCGCCCGCCCCGCCCGCCTCCCCAGGACGGCCGTGACGCGCCCTGTCTCCCCAGGTGCCATCACCTCCTTCTCCGCGGGCTTCGTGAAGATCCGCTGGGCGCTGTGGGCGAAGCTGGTCATCGCGGGCGTGACGGCGGTGCAGGCTGCGTTGGTCTTCCTCATGTACAGCACGAGCAACATCTGGCTGTGCTACGTGGCCTTTGTGCTCTTCCGTGGCGCCTACCAGTTCCTGGTGCCCATCGCCACGTGAGTTGACTGGAGCGGGGCGGGCCGTGTGAGGCCGTGGTCTGGGTGGCCGCTTAAGAGCCAGAGCTACAGCCTGGCCAGTGGCGGGTGGCCGGAGGGCCACACGCCTTCCTCCTGCTCGTTGGGAATGGACAGGCTGCCTGCATGTGTTAAGAGGCCTCCCTTCCAGAATGTTCTGTGGGGAGCAGAGGGGGCACGTGCAGGCAGCGTGGAGCTAGCGGGGCGGTGTGCTCTCTTACTGGGAGGAACAGTGAACCTAGCGTGCCCCCCCCGCTAGGGGCCCAGCTGTCCCTTGTCCGTGGCACGGCTTGTCCCGGCTTTCGTGACCCCGAGCTCGGCACGGAGCCTACCACGTGTGGCATCGGCATCCCTTCTGCTTCTCCCGTGGCGGCTACTTGGTGTCCACAGTTACCAGCCCTTGTAATGTCCTTCCTCCCTGCTCCCTGGCCTGTTTTTGAGGCCCCGGGCGCTGCTGTGGCCCTGACTGTGGCGCGAGGCCCTTCTTGTCCCTTTCCGCGGCAGGGCACGGTGACACATAGCCAAGGAGTAGCCAGGTGCTGCCCTCAGCCCACTTGTGCCTTCCAGAACTTTCTCCAGCCCACGTCTTGCTTGCTCCTAAGATCCTCTGTGTATTCCTTTGAACTGACCCTTTCACGAAGCTGTATGCTGTTGCCACACATGTTCACACCAATTGTGCCCACGCCCCACACGTGTAGGAGCCTCCCTCCCTCCCTCCCTCCTTGAGCTGCCTGCACCCAAGGTCGGCTTGGGTCTGTTACCAGCTCCCCTGCCCGGCCCTGGTTCCCCTCTGGGCCTCACCCCTCCTGGTCACCCCTGATCAGATCATCTGTCCGCACTCGATCTTGAGCTCACATGGCATCTTCAGGCTCCTAGCTCCTTGGTGTCGCCTCACGGAAGTGCCAGTCCCCAGCTTTGCTCTCCACACTCGGTCCACACCCGCCCAGGTGTCCCTCCTCTTCCGTTGGGGAGAGCCGAGCTCTGCCAGACGCCCCGGGGACGGTTTCCTCGGAAGACGCCCAGCCTGCTCCCCGTGGCCGGGGCCACCTCCCCTGACGGCCCCCTGTGTGGCCCGCTGGTCCTCCCTGCCTCCTGTCCCTCCTCGCCCTCTCTCAGCCTGCAAATGTCCCCAGGGCGTCTCGTTGGCCAGGAGCACCACGGTCAGCACCGGAAAGGGCTCCGGGTCATCTGCTGTGACTGCTGTGCACTCGATACGTCTCCTCCTTGGGCGTTTGTGCTGATTGTAGGAATGCAGAAAGGGCGGGATACGACGCGGGCTGGCGTGGAGAACGGCCCTTCTAGCTCCACCGCCAGGCCTGCTGCGGCCGTCGGGGTGTCTGGGCTGACCCGGGACCACGCTCGTCCCGCTGCGGCCCTGCCCCGCACACTTAGCTGTGTGCTTCGGTGTCACAGGTGCAGACGCAGTCGGTCCTCTCGGTCCTCTCGGTGATGCTGTACGGCTGGTCCCCAGGTGACTGGGATGCCACGTGCGATGTTTCCCTGTGACTGAGAGCCCTGAGGTCGATAGCCCCTCATCTGCGTTTATTCCTCCAGATTCTGATGGCCGCAGATGGGTCCCAGGAGGGACTGGCCAGGCGGGGGCACGTGCCCTAGAAGACGGTAGATCCTGGGCGGGCACACGGTGGCCCTGCGGGCCCCTTGCCTTTCGTAGGGACAGTTTGCATCTGGCCTCTCCTGCTGGGTTCTGTACTGTCCCTCGGGCAACCGGATGTGGTGGGAGCTTCTCGCCGTGTGCCCCTTGTCACGTCTCAGTTGCTCCCACCCGGGGCTGTGGAACACAGGAGACACGCGGGGCAGGTGGCCAGGGACCCGGCCCAGCTTGGGTTTCCTCACTCTGCGTCAGTCTCGCTGCTGCTCATGCCGGCGGGGGCCCTTCCTTGTTCCCCACCCAGCACAGCGGCCCCTCCGCTTCTGTCACCCTCTTGAAAGGCTCCTTGCGTATTTTCCTTCATTCTTCAGAACTTCGGAATGTTTTTTTATCCAGTTGTTTTTAGAGGCACCTCGGGGATTTTCGCGGAAGCACCTTCAAATGTTCACTTTTCTGCAGAGGACTGGGAGCCGTGTGCATATTCGTTCCTCTTGCTTTTTCTTGTTTGTTTTACTGTTCTGCCCCTAATTTCTCGAGTCGTGAAAGAACAGTGATTCCAGAACCCTCGTGATTTCTGCCTGTTCTCACGAGGCTCTCGGGGCTCTGTTTACTCTGTCCCAGAATTACCAGGAGATGTTCTGGACGTCTTCCCGGGGTGTGTGTTGTCCTCGGTGTTGCACGCACACAGCTTGCGCAGGGCTCGGAGCGCCGCCTGGGTCCCCGGCCGGTCGTGCCGGTTCCCTTTGTGCGGTGGGCGCGCCCCGTGCCGAAGCTGCGTCTGAGCTCGGCTGCTTTCCCATTCAGCTTTCAGATCGCGTCCTCTCTTTCTAAAGAGCTCTGTGCCCTGGTGTTCGGAGTCAACACATTCTTCGCCACCGTCCTCAAGACCATCGTCATCCTCATCGTTGCCGACAAGCGGTGTCTGGGCCTCCCGGTGCGCTCGCAGGTGAGTCCCTTTCAGCCTCGCGTCCTGGGGACGGAAGCCTCTGGAGGGGTGTTCGGCCAGCGGCATCTCCCCTCCAAAGGGTCTGGGTCCGCGGGTCCGCTGCAGGGGCGGCGTGGGCAGGGTGGGCTGGGGCAGAGCAGGAGCAGGGAGGGAAGGTTCAGCTGTGGTTGGGCTGCCCCGTCCCGGGGGCCCAGGCTGGGGCCGGGCAGGCCCCCTGGTCTGGGCAGTGCACAGCCAGCCCTGCTTAGGCTGCTGGGGCCCCCGAGGCCGCCCAGATGCCGGCCCCCCTGAGCAGCCCCCGGCGTCCCCCACACCGGCTGATGTCCCAGGAAGGACAGAGGTATGGCCGTGAGCCCCTCCCTGTGTGGTTACAGCTCACCGCCCGTTTGAGGTCTCTGCCTTTGATGTCAAAACCTATCCGGCCTGGGCCCTGACCCTCACTTGAGCTGTTTTTTGTCCGCAAGACAGGAGAGTGGACCTGGGGTTGACCTGGGTGCGCGCGGGCCCCTGTCTGGTCCCTCCCTCCATCCAACTCTGGGCAGGTCCTCGGTGCCTCTGAGAAGAGCTTGAGAGTTCTGTCCCCTGTGAGGTTGGGGGACGTTCCACGTGTGACTCTGGCTAGTCTCGGCCACAGTGCGACCCCTCGGGCAAGCTGGAATTAGCCAGAGGGCAGGCCCGCAGGAGGGAGGCAGTCAGGCTCCTGGGGACCACTCCGCCCCACCCGTGGCCGGACACGTACCCTGAGCCTGGGGGCATGCAGCCTCCCGTCTGCCTGGAGCCTGGACCTCAGTGGGCTTGGGCTCCCTGGAGAAGTCCCGGCCTCTGAGCTGAGTTGGCACTACTTTGGTGACCCCAGAGTTGACTGGAAAGAGGCGCCGGGCGGGGACAGACCCTCTTGTTTGGAAACTGGCCTGCGGGGTTTGAAAACACTGGTTAGGAGAATAACATGTGAAGCGCTTGCTCCTGTCTGCCGAGCGCCCCCCTGTGGATGTGCTCTGTGTGGTAGACTGTGCTGGGAGCGGCCGGCATCCAAAGTGTGCGTTAGTCGTGTTACTGGTGGAGTTGCCGGGCCACGGGAGGTTGTTAGTAAGTTGGGGGGCGTCCGGAGTTCTGTGCGGCCCCGCACCCGTATGCCTGTGGGGTCGGCGGTATGAGGTCCGCCCGTTCTGTGCCTCTCTGGCCCATCTGTCCATCCTGATGGGGTTTTTGCAGAGCAAAACTTCCAGATTTGATCAGCTCTGGTTTACCTGTTTCTCCCTTTATGGGTCTGGGCTTGGCATCACGTGGAAGAACTTTTTGCGTGGCCCGGGCTCTCGAGAGTCTTCCCCAATCTCTTTCTTAAAGTTTCATGGGTTTACCTTTAAGTCTGACCCACGCGGACTTAAGTTTTGTGTGAGGTCAAAGGCCGCCTCTGTCCGGACGGCCCGTTGCCCGGCCCCGCTTGTCGAAGAGACCGTCCTTTCTCTGTCCAACTGCTGCCTCACTGTTGTCAGAATCGCGTTGCGCGTGTTTGTGCGGGTCTGTTTCTGGGCTCTCGGGCCACCCACGGAGCTGGACACCTGCCCGTCTGCCACCGCCACCGCGTCCTGCTCGCCAGCTCCATGGTGAGCTCTGAAATTGGGCAGACTGATTGCCCCAGCTTTGAAGCGTGTTTTCAGGATTGTTTCCACCTTCTAGTTTCCTTGCCTTTCTCTGTAAGTTTTATTTATTTTTTAAAACTTTTTTAAAGTTTATTTTGAGAGAGAGAGAGCAAGCATTGGAGGGGCAGAGAGAGGGAGAGAGAATCCCAAGCAGGCTCCACACTGTCATCACGGAGCCCGACATGGGGCTTGAAGCCACAAACTGTGAGATGATCCGAGCCGAAACCGAGGGTCGGACGCTTAACCGACCGAGCCACCCAGGCTCCCCAGCCTTTCTGTGTAAATTTTAGAGTCAACTTGTCTACCTACAAAAATTCTTGCTGGAATTTTGCTGCGACTCACAGTAAGCCCGTGTCTGTTCGGGGAGAATTGGCATCTTCGCTCTGTTTCCAGTCTGTGAACGTGGTGTGTGTCTGCATTTGTGTGGAGAGTCCTTGATTTCCTCTCGCATCTTGCACTTTCCGGCAAACGAGTATTGTACGTGCTTTCTTAGGTTTATGCCTAAGTATTTCATTGTGTTTTGAGCAATTGTGAGTGGTAGTGTATTTTAACATTCGTGTCCACACTCGTCTGCCGGGGCTGCCATATGGAAGCACCAGACGCTGGGCAACTCACAATCCTGGAAGCTCAGAGTCTAAGGTCAGGGTGTGCGCAGAGCTCGGTGCTCCCGAGGGCTTGCTGGCACGTAGACGTCGTCTTCTGTGTCCTCATGTGAACTTTTCTCCGTGTGTGTGCACGTCTGGTGTCCCTCTCTGCTTCCAGGAACAGGGGTCACATTGGATCAGGGCCCACTGTTATGACCCCTCCGACCTTAATTGCCTCTTTGAAGGCCCTGTCTCCAAACACAGTCCCATTGGAGGTGGGGGCCTGCACACATGGCTTCGGTCCAGCAGCACCGTGTGCTCGTTGAGAACACGTAGGGATACACCCGATACTCGGGTGTTGGTGTTTTATAGCCTTGCTGTGGCCATTCGTTAGTTCCAGGAGGTGGTTTGTTTTTCATATGCTTTTTCTTTCGTTTTCTTGCCTTAGTGCAGCTGGCTCAGACTTCCTCCTTATTGTTTCCTTCTTTTTACTTGCTTTAGATTCATATTCATCTTTTTCTAGGTTCTCGAAATGGGAATTTAGATCAATGACCCGAGGCTTCGTTTTTATTTTATTTTTATTTTAGAGAGCACGCGAGCAGGGGCGAGGGGCAGAGGGAGGGAGGGGATCTTAAATGGGCTCCGCGCGAAGCGTGCCCAACACGGGGCTCGGTCCCAAGACCCTGGGATCATGACCTGAGCCTAAATTAAGAGTCAGACGCTCAACCGACTGGGCCACCCGGGTGCCCCTTGAGGCTTCTTCTCTAACATTCGCATTTAGTGCTGCGCGTGGAGTCCCCTCTCCTGCCGCTTCAGCCGCGTCCCACAGATCGGGAAGCTGCATTTTCATTTTTGTTCATCTCACTGTATCTTTTTATTTCTCTTTGACCCATAATTATTGCAGATGGTCTTGTTTGGTTTCCAAGTGTTTTGAGAGTTTCCTGTTATCTTTGTTGTTGATTTCCATTTTGATTCTATTTTGTGATCAGTGAATACAGTCTATCTGATTGCAGTCCTTTTAAATTTGTCGAGGTTTGTTTTCTGGCCCAGGATGTGGTTTATCTTATTATATGTTATGTGGGACCCTTGAAAAGAATGTGAATTCTCCTTTTGTTGGGTGGAGTGTTTTATAAATTCCAGTTAGATCTGATTGATGGTGGTATTGATTTAATCTGTCTCCCTGTGGATTTTGTCTCATCCCATTGTTGAGAGAGGAGTGTTGGCATCTCCATCCTTAATTGTGGCTTTCATTGTTGCTGCTTTCAGTTCCATCGTGTTTTTCTTCACGTGTTTTTAGGTCTTTTGTTTGTTGCACACACCTTGGGGATTGTGGGGATTGCAGTGTGTTTTGATGGATTGAGCTTCGGATCATTATGAAATGTCCTTCTCTGCCTCTGGTCATTTTTTCTTCTCTGACGTCTACTTCACCTAATATCAACATAGGCACTCCTGTTTTCTTTAAAAAAATTTTTTTAAATGTTTATTTTCGAGAGAGAGAGAGAGAGAGAGCACAAGCGAGCAGGGAGGGGCAGAGAGAGATGGAGACACAGAATCCGAAGCAGGTTGCGGTCTCCCAGCTGTCAGCAGAGAGCCCAACGCGGGGCTCGAACTCACGAACCATGAGATCATGAGCTGAGCTGAACTCATACGCTTAATTGACTGAGCCACCAGGTGCCCCTCTGTTTTCCTTTAATTAACATTTGTGTGATACACATTTTTACATCCTTTTACTTTTTACCTGACTGTATTGTTATATTTGAAATGAGTTCCTTGTAGACTACATATGATTGAGTCATGTTTTATCATCTATTCTGCAAACGTCTGTCTTAAGTGGTGAACGTAGACCATTTATGTTTAGTGAAATTATTGACGTGTTAGAGTTTACATCTGCCGTATCATTTTCTGTTTTCCTTTTCTTCTCCTTTGTATTTTCTGTGCCTTCCTATGGATTGTTTGCACATTCTTTAGAGTTTCATTTTATTTATCTGTTGTGTTTTTGAGTGTATCTCTTGCTATAGCTTTTTTGATGGCGACTGTGTGTTAAATAACCTATTTGAGCGAAGTATAGAAATCTTATCTCCTACCATGTCATTCTACCTTCCACTGTTTTTATTTATTTATTCATTAAAAAAAATTTTTTTTTGAATGTTTATTTTTGACAGAGAGAGAGGGAGAGAGCGAGCATGAGCCAGGGAGGGGCAGAGAGAGAGGGAGACACAGAGTCCAAAGCAAGCTCCAGGCTCCGAGCTGTCAGCACAGAACCCGACATGGGGCTCAAACTCATGAACTGGGAGATCATGACCTGAGCCGAAGTCGGACACTCAACCGACTGAGCCGCCCATCGCCCCTACCTTCCACTGTTAATAGTATAGTTGTCTCAAGTATTTTCTCTACGTATCATTACAGCCATATAAGTTAGGGTTCCAAATTTTGCTTTAACTATCAAACACTTAGAAATTTCTAGAAGAGAAAGAAAGGCTTCTGTTTACCCATGATTTGGCTCACTGTGTTTTGTCTTCCCCGTTGATCCAGGGTTTCTTCTTAACGATTTCCTTTCTGTTCAGAGAATTCTCCTTTAAGCCCTTCTTTTAGGGTAGGTCAGCTGGTGACAACTTCTTCTGTTAGTTTTTCCTTTTTCTGAGAATCTCTTGATTTCCTTTTCATTCCCAAAGGAGATGATACTGGATATAGGCTTCTAGGCTGATAGTTTTTTCTTTTAACTTTGAAGAAAAATGTGTCACATCCTTGTGGTCTTAACTGGCTTCTGATGAAAAAGTCCACTGCTTTTCCCTTAAGGTGTTGCTTTTTCCTGGCTACTCGCAAGGCTTTTCTTTTTCCTTTGCCTTTAGCTTCTTCAGAAGTTTAAATATGGTGTGTGTTGGTCTGATTTTCTTTGGGTTTGTCCTGTGTGTGTGGTTCCCTGAGCATCTTGAATCTGTAGGTTTATTTCTCACTAAATTTGGAGAATTTCTAGCCACTATTTCCTCAAGTTTTCCAGCCCTATCCTCTTTCTTTTCGTGGGATTCGCATGACACAACATCACATCTTTTGTCACATAAGGGAATGAAGCTCTGCTTAGGATTTCTTTCTTTTTTAGACTTGTTTTCTCTCTGTTTAGATTTGGTGGTTTCCATCGCCCCATCTTCCAGTTCGTTGATTGTTTTCTCTGTCCTGTCTGTTCTGTTCTGTTGTTGAAACCATTGAGTTTTTAGTTTGGTTATTGTGTTTTCAATTCTAGCTGTTCTTTGTCTCTTCCATTTCTTTTCTTAGAGTTTTCGACCTGTTCCAAGAGTGTTCATGCTCAGTGAAACAGTTTCACCATGCTGTGTTAAAGTCTCTCTCAGATAATTTTAACATCCCTGTCGTCCCTGTGACGGCATCTGTAGATTGTATTCATTCAGTTAGAGATCTTTGTGGTTCTAAGTGATTGTTTTATTAAAGCCTGGACATTTCGGAGATTATGTTAAGAGATCTGCATCTTACTGAAACCCTCCACTTTAACTGCTTTTTCCTGACACTGCTCCAGCAGAGGAAGTTGGGGACATGTGCCTTGTTACAGCCAGGCGGGTGGAAGTTCAGGCTCTGTGCTCAGACCTCCTGACCAAGAGGGAGCTGGGGGGGCTCCTCCCTCCTCCTGCCTGCCTGGCAAGGACGGGGGTTCCAGTTCTCCCCACCTGGCTTCCAGCCTCCAGTGGTTACAAGGCGGGGGGTGCCTTGTGACCGCTCCCACATGGCCTCCAGTGACACCACCGGGGATGGGGTGTTCTCCCTGCTGCTGGGCGATGGTACGAGTCCTCGACCCACAGGGCTGGGGTTTGGGGGTTGTTACCGCCTGGGGAGAGTGAAAGTCCAGGCTTTCTGTGTGGTTTCTGCCGGGGTGAACTTTCCAGCTCCCCACTGGGCCTTCACCACCATCTGACGGGGGCCCCATTGTAGTCTGGGTAATGAGGGTGGGGTTCAGCCATTGTAGGGCTGTTCCCTCTGTCCGTTTCCTGTCCTGATGGGCTGTCCCTCTCCAGTCCCAGTCCTTTTGCTGGAAAGAACAGCTTTTATTGTTTTTTTTTTGTTTGTTTTTTTCCCCCTTCATTAGCTGGCATTTCTGGGTTGCTGGTTTTTTTTTTTTTTTTTTTAATTTTTTTTAATGTTTATTTATTTCTGAGAGAGACAGAGACAGAATGTGAGTGGGTTGGGGCAGAGAGAGAGGGAGGCACAGAATCCGAAGCAGGCTCCAGGCCCCGAGCTGTCAGCACAGAGCCCCATGCGGGGCTCGAACTCACGAGCTGTGAGATCATGACCTGAGCTGAAGTCGGACGCTCAACCGACTGAGCCACCCAGGCGCCCCTGGTTTCGTTTCTAAAATTACAGCACAAAATTAGAAAAGCCCGGGGGACACATTGGTGTTTGTCCTCAGCCTCCAGGGCTCCTAGCTGGTGAACTGCCTTCGTCTGTGTGCTCTGTGTGTGACGTCCAGAGCGTCAGCCGTACCTGGGGGAGGAGTGGGGAAAACACATCCGCTCCATCTGCCTGGAAGCAGTGTCCGTCATGGTTCATTTCCCGGTTTTGCTTGTGAAGATGAGCTTTTCCCAGAAAGGCACGGAGAGGGGCCTGCGGGGAGCGGAGCGCCAAGGTCTCGGGCAGGACCCACGCCTGGTCTGGCCCGCAGACGCCCGGAACCGCCTGGACTGCCTGTCCCGGCGGTCACGAGACTCAGGAGGGACGTTCCCACGTTCTGGGCGCTCCGCGCAGCTGCACCGATCCCCGGGACAGAGACTGGCTTGGGGCTTGCGTCTGGGCTCTGCCGTGTGGGAAGTTCCCGCACACGCTTGTCCTTGTGCCCTCGGCAGCCGTGGGAACTTGGCCCACAGAATGAAGCTCATGTTTGTTATCTTAAATCGAGCGGAGCATCTTGGGGTAGATCACAAGGGCCACGCGATGCAGGGAAACTGCCAGGGCTTGTGGGAAAGCGGTGGGGGCCCCCCCAGGGCTCGTCCTGGAGCAGGGCAGAGGGCGGGCCCTGCCCACTGTGGAGACCTGCTCCTGGCCTGTCCCCCGACCCTCGGGCACCCAGCCCCACTCCTGCAGTGTTCCTATGGCCTCAGCGGGAGGAGGGAGAGCCGGGGAGGAATCCACAGGCCCCTTCCCGCCCCTGCCCCTCACCTGCCTGGGCTGACCTCACCCCTACCCCTCTCTGTTCTAGTTCCTCGTCTACTTTGTGTACTTCCTAGTGCTGTTCATTGTCTACCTCTCGGCGGCCATGCTGGTGATCCTGCGGCACCTCCGGGAAGGCCGCCACCCACCCCCAGCCCTGCCCCCGCCCCAGGAGGAGAAGGCCGAGCAGGTGCTGAGCCTGCAGGACAGAGGCCTCAGTGGCCCGAAGCCGGAAGCCCCCCCGCCGGCCCTGGAGGACAGCGTGTGGACGGCAGGGTTGGCCTCTCGGGAACAGAACCAGCAGCCCGAGGCCAAAGCCTGACCCAGGCCGGCCTAGCGGGAGGCCAGGCTCCTCTGGCACCGGAGGCAGCCCGTGCACCGTGCTCCACGTCATGGGGCCTTGATGTCTCAGAAGGGATGTCTCTTCGCAGCTGGCCCAGGACCCGGGTTCCGGCACGGTCCACATTCCAGTGTTCGCATTGTGGAGCCAGGGACTGACGGGGACCCTAGGTGGGATATCCCTGTGACCCACACCCCAAGGGCTTGTCTGGCGATGGCCCTGAGTACTGGTTCTCGTCCCCATCCCGCTGCCTGCTGGGGCACTGCGGGCTGGCTTGCTGTCCCCGTGGCGGGGAGGGGGGTCTCATGTGCCCACCAGGCCACTCTGCCTTCACCCCGCCCCCCACAAGAGGCAGGTCCTGCTTGTTCCTGGGGACCAGTGAGGGGGTCAAGATGCCAGCCTCAGGGACTCAGTCCCCCACAGGGTATCCTGTGCCCTGCAGGGCCAGGCCGGGATCCCTGATTCCCATAGCCTGTGGCTAAACTTGGTAAGGCCAGTTGTCCAGGTACTTGCTTTAGACTATGTCCCTTTCCTAAAGAAAGTTGACCCAAATGAGAAGCCTCAGTGGGCTTCTCTTTCCGGGCGAGACGCCAGGCATTGGCCGCTGGCAGACATTTGCCCGTCAGGTGGAAGCAGGGATGCAGGGGCCCTGGAGCCACGCTTCTCCCCCAGCGGGCTAACCCTGACCTACCTCACTGGTGACTGCGGACCACTTGGGGTCACTCGCCCACGTGCCGGCCCACACGGGACCCACCCTGAGCACACCACCTCAGATGCAAGACCGTCGGCTCTCCCCAAAATCAAACCCCAAGCCCCACACGTGGAGGGGCTCCTGGTCTTGTACTAACCTGGCGTGGGTGGGGGCGGCTGGTCAGGAGGCCAAGAAGAGGGCCCCGGCCCCAGGCAGGAACCCAAACCAGGCCCCCACGGCCTCGAGCTGAGCACAGCCCCCTCCTACAGCCCTGTCTTGAGAAGCGCCCACGCCCTGCGGGAAGGGAAGGCCAGCTGCTCGGAGCCAGCTTGGTGCAGAGAGGTTGGAGCAGCCCTCCTGGAGAGGAGCTGCCTGCATCCAGGGATCCCTGAGGTCCGCTTGTCGGGGGCAGGGTGTCTCAGGAGGCTGCCCTGAGGCTGCAGGAGGATGCTGGGGGGCGGGGCATCCACAGGGGGCCTCCCCGCTGACTCCCCACCCCACCCACCCCATGCCCCAGGGACCCCGCGGGGAGGGGCAGTGCTCTTCCCCTTCCATGCTCAGGGATCCTGCGGGACTTGGCGGGTGGAGGGCGGTGCCTCTCCCCTCTGGTCACTGACCTCATGATGCAGGCCCTTTGCTCTTGCCCCCACCCTGACCTGCGAATGCTCCCATCGGTGGGTGGCCCAGCCACCTGGCCCCATGGTGGGTTCCGCGTGCTGCAGCAGCTCTGGGGAGAACATGGGTGCTGGGTCTACACCCCGGCTTGCCTGTGCGGACTGCCGGCCGTCCCCAGGGACGCTCCGGAGACAAGGTTTAGGGCACCAGCATCCCCGTGCACGTGTGTGCATCTGACATCCGTGTACATCTAGCCACGCCCACCTGTGCCCCTTCAGCGGGACCCAACAGCAGGACAAAGACCCCCACGCTCTGTCTCACGATAACGAAGGCTGCTTCCAAACCGAGTGTCCGTGCAAAACGCTGTTTTTATTTGGAGCCTGTTTGGAAACCACATTACACAGCAGGACCGGCTGCCGTGGTTTACAGGGCAGTGTTGAGACAGCAGACCTGAGGCGCTTGGCTCCGTGCCCACGACCCAGCACAGCCACCAGGGGGGAGGGACCCTGGGGGTGCCCCCAGAATGCCCCCTTCAGAGTGCTTTGTCTACACGGCCTCGGGTCCCAGAGCTCGGCAAGGCCGGTCTCAGGTGAGCCGTGTCCTGGCTGAGGACAGGTGTCGCGATCCTGTTTGCCCCTGTGCCTTGTTTTAAGTAAGCTTCGTGCCCAGTGTGGAGCCCAACATGGGGCTTGAACCCACAAACCATGAGATCATGATCTGAGCTGAGATTGAGTCGGACACTTAACCAACCGAGCCACGCATGCACCCCTTTCCTCTGTGGTTTTTTGAACTCTGTGTCCCATGAAGATAAACCTGGGGCCCTGGACTCAGCAGGCAGTTCTGGCCGGGCACCTGGGAGCGGGAGTAGGTTTGGGCCCAGTTGGGTTCCGGGATGTGCTCCTGGGCAAGGCTAGGGAAGCCTCTGCTCTGGGAATCCTTGCCTCAGCAAAGGGGTTTTGGATCTGGGCGGGGCCCGGGGACAGGACACTGCCATCCCTGGGTTGTGGGCCCCTCAACTCCTAGCCTGGGGGCGTCTGGCTGGCTCAGTCCGTAGAGCTCTTGATGTCAGGGTTGTGAGTTTGAGCCCCACGCTGGGGGTAGAGATTAAAAATCTCCCCGCAGGGCCTTGGCTGGATTGAGCTCCACGTGGGAAGCCGGTGTGGGACAGAACTGAAGACGCACCTGCCCCGTGTGCAGGCTGGCTCCCAGCCACCAGCACAAGGTGGTGTTGGGGTAAAGGCCATAGCCTGGGGGCAGCAGTGGCCCCTGAGTTTGGGGCTGGCTCTAGCCCGGAGGTGGCTGCGGAGGCCAAGGAGAAATGGCCCCACGCTGTGCCCTTGGCCTGAGCTGCCCCAGCAGCTCACAGCTGGGGACCGAGGCCCCACCCGGCCCCCGCCAGGCCCTCCGCACGCACACCTCCCCAAGTCAGTATGTTCCTTTGCCTCGGGGGGGGGGGGGGTCTCCCTCCTGTTCTGATTGGGGTCAAAGAGGAAGGGGGCAGGGCCTTGTGCGAGGTGGGGAGGGGCAAGAGAAAGTCTGGGCACCAGGTTTTGTTTTAAACTTTTTAAAAAATACACTCTTTGGTTTCCTTTTATTTCTTGGGGGTTACATGAAACGTGAACCACAGAACCATACAGGAGAGTGCCAGCCAGGTCCCACCCTGGGGGCGGGCAGGGGCAGACACTCCTTAAGGGCGGCTTCCCCGCTCCCCTGCTGCTGGCCTCCCGGCCTGGCCGTCTGACTGTCCATCTGCCTGTCTGAGCCGGCAGAGCCCCTACTTGGAGGAGGAGGTCATGAAGCTGTTCTCGATGCAGAGCACGATGAAGGCGTTGCGGCAGCTCGCGGCTTTCTGCGCCAGCAGCCTGCCCGCCAGCAGCGAGGAGGCCTGGCCAGCCGCCGCCGCGTCCTCTGTCCGCCACGTCTCGCAGTAGCTGTCGGTCAGACGGCGCCCGCTGGGGTCCGAGCCGTGCCACACGCTCTTCTGAGGCCTGCGGGAGGCAGCAGCCATCAGCCGCAGGCCCGGGCCCTGACCCCCAGGATCTGGACCACTCCGGGCAGGGGAGGGCGTTTCCCAAAGGCCCCAAGGCCCAAGGTGCGGCTGCCTGTGGGGCCGTCCCTGGGGGCTCCACCTCCCAGAACACACCCCCTGCGGCCTCTGCTGGGGAGCCTACCAGGCAGGATGCTGCAGGACGTCTCTGCCGTCGAAAGAGAAGACGCGGGCCCCGGGCTTCAGCTGGCCCTCGGAGCCGGAGAACAAGGCCTCCCAGCTGGGAAACAGCACCTCGTCCTGGGGAGGGCGGTGTCGCAGGACTCACTCCCGCCCCAGGGACGCCCTGCCGCGGGGCCTCCCCCCCCCAGGTCTGCGGTGAGGCCACTGCCTCTGGCCCCGAGGCGCGCTGGTGCTCCCCAGCTCCCAGGAAGCACTCGGCGGTGGGAGAGAGGCATGGGGACCGCCCCAGAGACGGTTCCCAGCCCCGGCTCGGAGGTGGCTGCGTGCGAGGGCCCGGCCCTGCCTCCTGCCCCTGAAGGCGCCCCGTGAGATGGGGTGGCTGTGGGGGGTTGGGGACCCCGCCGGACCCCCGCCCCTTGCCCCACACGGGAGCCCTCACGCACCCGGAGGTTGACGATGGGCACGCCCGTGCGGTCAGCGCGGCGCACGATGCTGTAGAGGTCCTGCAGCCGCGAGGACAGGAAGGCGCGGAAAGTGCCCGCCAGCCCCACGGCGCGCGCCTGCTGAAAGCACTGGAAGTCCGCGCCCCGGATGCCGCGCATGCCGCCCGGCTGGGGGCTGTTGAGTGCGACCAGGTGGAGCTGTGGAGGGGTTGCGGGGGTCAGCCACCAGCCCCAGGCCGGCCGAGGAGCTGAGCGTGCACAGAGAGCCTGCGTGACCGGCCCCGGGAGCCCCAAGAGGACCAGCCCAGCCCCTCGGCCTAGGGCAGCAGGGACCGCGGTGGGCTGGGGGCCAGGGGGTCCAGAGTGGCAGCCGTCAGGCCCCCACCCCTGCCCGGCTCCTCGGGCTCTCCCGCTTCTCGAAGGCCCAGAGAGCCCTCCCATCCTGGCAGCCCTGGGAGTCCGCGGGAGCCGAGGGGCTGGTGGGTCACACTCACCACGGGCTGGAAGTCCTGGTGGGTGTGGGTACGGGCGGGCCCGCCTGTGGGGCGAGCCGGCTGGACGCGCAGGTAGGGGCCGTGGTGGGGGGCGCCAGGGTAGGGCCGGGGGTCCGGCAGGCGCGGGGGGCCCGCCAGGATGTCATCCGCCCGCCACGGCCGCGCCGTAGAGTGGGTGAGCTCCCGCCGGGGGTACGGGTTGCCCTCGTGCAGCTGCACCAGCGGGGGCTGTAGGGCGGCCACCTCGTTGTCCTGCAGACGCAGAGGCAGAGGCGCCGTGGGGGGGGGCTCTGCCCTCCTGTCCGGGCGGCCCTCTCCTCCTGCACCTGCGGCTTGTGCTCTCGTAAGCTGGAGGGGGCGCCCTGCCGGCCTGACGTGCAAAGTGGGTGGCTGGCCCTGCGCTCAGGCACCCCGCCCCGCTCAGGACCACATTCCCTGACCTTCCAGCCCCCCTCACTGCCACCCAGACACACAAGTTCTCCGCTCCTTACGCCCCGTGCGCCCACCTCGGGTGATCTGCACCGACCCCCCTTCCCCTGTCCTCCCCCAGCACCCAGTGCCTCTGACACCCCATGTGCTCTGTGACTAGGCACCTTTCCCTGCTAAGACGATAAAACAGGTTGTCTATCCTCCGTCATCTTTGCCACCTTTCCCCCAGCCCGCGAGCTCCGCAGGGGCCTCGTGTGTCCCGCAGAGGCAGGGGCCTCGTGAGCCTCTGTGAGCGGGCGGACTCGCCGGGAGCCCAGGACACACACTACCTAACGCAGCCTCGGTCCCGGGCCCTTTAAGAAGTGCTGGCTTAGAAGAGCCGCAGCAGTGGGAAACCTGAGTATGTGGGCTCCTCCGTCCCCCGGGCCCCGCACTCGGAGAGGGGTGGGCAGCGTGGCCCGAAGGGAGGCGGCCTCGTGGCCTGCACACCACCTCCCACGCCCAGCCCCCAGAGCCCCAGGCGTGCCGGGGACGCGAGGCCGTGCTCGGCCTGCCACCGTGGAGCCCCGGCCAGACGTCCCCCGGGCTCCAAGCCCTGAACTCGGCTGCGTCCTTACCGTCCCACGTGGGAGGGGTGTCCGCGCCTCCAGCTGAAAGAAAACGCAGGGGTCACCCCAGCAACCCTGACGCCTGGCACCCCCGCCCCGCCCCAGCGGAAGCCGGCACGGCTACACCCTGGTGCCTGTGCCATCAGCGGGCGCACAGCACCTCACATGCATCGGCTGTAAGAAGTGGGAGTCACTTCTCTGTAAACCCCAAACTGCTCGGAAGGCCCGGAGTTAAAAAATAAAGAAACGTGAGGAGGGAGCACGGTCACTGCATGAGGCGCTCACCCCACAGGACAACCGAGACCAAGGCTCAGGCTCGCTGTGGGGGGCCCCCTTCCCCCCCACATGCTCTCCTGAACCCCAAGCAAGCTCGAGAAGGTCTCCTGCCCTTTCCCCGTGCAGGTAACTCACCAGGACCTTCCGGAACCCATTCCGGACCCGGACATACAGCTCCTCTGTCTCAGCCACAAAGATGAGCCAGCCCTCCGGAACCTCCGGCACCTTGTCCAGCATGGTCTGGTACGTGGCCCAGATCCTTACCTGCTGGAAGCCCGACCCAGTGGGTGCCCTCGCACACAGGCAGTGTCTGGGCTCATGGGGGGTGAGGGGAGGACACTTCCGGATGAGGGACAGTCCTGAAGGCTTAAGTGTGTTCCTTTCTCGATCAGGCTGTTCCCTGAGAATGCTCTGTGGCACCGGGACAGTGAGGCCACCCTCGGGGAGGGCTGGATGCCAAGTGCCCACGTGCCCGGTGAGCCCTGCTGGGGACCCTTCTTAATGGCTGTCCTCCCTTGTCCTCCCCTGCCCACCCGAGTCCCACGGCCACCCCCAGGCTCCCCGTTTTCTGCTTTGCAAACCACATCTCAGGGCTGCCGTGCATCTGTGCACGGGGCAGGGCCAGGCCCGGTGCTGGGACCCTCCGGAGCAGGCCACCCACAGGTCTGCAGAGGGGAGGGCGGCCGGGCAGGCGACTGGGCAGCAAGCATCTGACCGGTAAGGAACACGGGGCCCCTTACCCCTGAGGAGGTGCCCATGGTTCCAGGGGGTCCGGGGGGCCCAGGTGGGCCTGGGGGGCCGGGAACACTGATTGCTGCAAGAGAAGAGCCAGAGATGGGAACGCATGGCCCTGGCTGGACGAGGCCGGAGACCAGGTACCCGCCCCTGCTTGACTTACTCTGCCTGTAAGGGCCGGGGAAGGAAGGGGGCCCTGGGGGCCCGGGGGGGCCGGGGGGGCCAGGAGGCCCCTGACGCCCCTCATGGCCGATGCCAGGGGGCCCCTGAGGTCCAGGTGGGCCTGGCTGGCCCCGAATGCTCTCTCCCTTGGGACCCTAGGGGAGACAACAGAACATGTGGCAGAGGCCCTGCGGGGAGCCCCCTGCCTGCCCCCACGATGGCCGGGGAAACCTGGCCTCCCACACGGTGTGCTCTGTGCTGGGAAGGGATCCCAGAGCACGCCCTGGACAGAGGTTCGGTCCCCCAAAGGCCCTCGTTCCCCCTCCATCCCTCAGGCAGAAGCTGGGGCCTGTGCCCCTGGAATCTTTTAGGGCAGATGGTCTCCCTGAGGGAGGGCTGGGTGAGGGCCCCTATGCCCCCCATTCTCCCGGCTGGCTGGGGGGGGCCCAGGCCGTGACCCACCAGGCCTGCCCCGTGTCCCCCCCTGCCAGGAGTGGGGGCAACCTTTTGGGCCTTGCAGGCATCCACAGCTGGGCTGGACCTGGCCCAGGACGTTGGGGACACGGGCTCTGGCTCGGGCCTGCAGGCAGCCAGGAGTCCAGACTTACCGGAATCCCAGGGTAGCCTGGCGGGCCGGGGGGGCCGGGCACACTGGAGCCGAAGAATCCGCCACCCCCGGGCTCACCCCGTTCGCCCTTCTGCCCCGGGTCTCCTCTATCACCCTTCTCCCCCTGTGGATGGAAATGCCGGTCTGAGACAGCCCGGCTCCCGCTGCTGACCTGGGAGGGGCAGGCCGACCCCCGGAAGCCCCGAGTGGGCAGGGTGAGGCAGCCGGAAGCTTCTGGAGCCCAGGAGGTCCGGCACACCCTGCGGGACAGGACTTGTCTCCCCACCTTCTGAGCCCCCAAGGAACCCAGCCAGGGTGGGACAGGCGACGGGGACGCGGGTGACACCCACCTTCATTTCAGCCTCCAGCTGGAGGAGGTCGAGCGGGAACTGCCCTGTAGGAGAGATGGGGCGCCAAGGTGAGTGTCTCGGCAGCGCCATGCCCCCCCACCTACAGCTGCTTTCGTTGCCTTCTAGAACGTCTGTTTCTGGGGGGCCCCCTGCAGTTTGGTTACACTTTTGTTAATGGCGGCCCCGGAATGTTTTAGGGGTGCAGCAGCAGGACCGGACAGTAAGGCTGGTTCACACCCGTGGCCTCACTGGTGGGGACACAGGAAGACGTGTGTCACCTCGTGATGGGAGTTCCAGGACGCGTCTGGCGGCTCGGACGGTTCCCCGTGACGCCCGCCTGCCTCTGGCGGCCACAGGTCTGACCTCCTTTTGTAATGGCACCTTTTTAGAATTTCTTTTTGTTTATTACCAGTTGATTTTTGTGAATCGCCCCTGTGACCTTGGTAAGTCTACCTATTAATTGCAACGGTATGTTCTTTTGGGTGGTTGATGTTCCCAAACCCGTCTGTACAAATGGCAGGTACTTCTTCCTTCGCAACCCTCCCCACCCTCCGGGGGCAGCGGCCACCACCCTGAGCACCAGCCACCCTGCAGCCCTAGCGAGGGTGGAGGCGGAGCAGCCCTTTGCCCCTCGCTCGCTGGCTCGCTCGCTCGCAGGGCTCCCTCCTTTCTCCGTCCTGCAGGGGGCGTGCCAGGATTAGCGGTCTTTCCAAAAACTACCTTGACTTGCAAATGGTTGTTCACTCAGCTTGAGCTGTACCATTTCTTCCCTTTTCTTTGCTTTTCTATGTTAATTTTACTTTACTTTTTAACATAATCTCTTGTCAAGTTGCCTGACATACAGTGTGCACAGTGCGCTCCTGGTTTTGGGGGTAGATTCCCGTGACTCTTTGCTTCTGTACAACCCAGTGCTCATCCCAAACAGTGCCCTCCTCAGTGCCCATCTCTTTTGCTAAAGGTAAATTTGCTATTTGTTTTCTGACTTCTTGAGCTGAGTGCTGAGAAACGTGTCCCGCTTGAGGCTGTGAGTTCCTGAACAGTTAACAGGACCCGTGGCCTGGGGCCCAGCTGGGCCGGCCGATGGGTGCGTGGCCCCCATCTGGGGGGGGGGGTCCTGCTGCCGCGGGGCCGCTGCGGCCACGGACTCGGCCGGGGCCTCACCACCTTCCACCTGCCGGTTGTGAGTGGATCCTCCTTATCTGGAAGGGAAGTGCGCTGCTCTGGGGTCATCTTCCAGGTGTGTCTGTGACGCTGACTTCCTGCTCGCTTTCTGCCAGGCGAGGGCCCGTGTGGTGAAGACAGGGTCCCCGTGTTGCTGCCAGGGCCCCAGGGCCCCAGGGCCCCAGGGCCAGGTCGGGAACTCCGTCTCCTGCCTGAGCTGTTCTTTGTGAGCTGGTGCCGTCACTTCCTGAGAGCCGGCCATACCCCCACGAGGACGGATCTGTGTCGTCCTTCTCCTGTCGGTTGCTGCTCTTCACGTCTTGAAGCTATGTTGTTAGAGGCACAGGATTTGGAATTGCTGTATTTTTCTGGTGGGTTTACTCCTTTTTCATAATGGACTTTTTTTTTTCCGAGTTTCTGGCAATGTTTCCTGCCTCAAGGTACACTCGTCTGATTTCTCACACATAAACAGATATTTGTACACACACACACACACATACAGGTGCATTCACAGACGCATGTAGACACACACCCATGCAAAGGTGCACATTCACACACAGGTGCACATGTGCACACACACAGGTACATTCACAGATGCACGCAGGTGCACACACACCCCCATGCACAGGTGCACACACACACAGGTGCATTCACAGATACACAGGCACACAAAGGCACACATATACATAGGTACATGTACGTGCACAGGTGCACTCACACGTGCACACACAAGAACACGGGCACGCTCACACATACAGGTGCACACGAGCGCACAAGCACACAGGTGCACTCACAGATGCACACACGCGCACACAGGGGCATGCACACACACAGGTGCACATTCACACACACAGGTGCACACACAGGTCTGTTCATAGATGCGGACACATGCACACGGGAGCACACACAGGTGCACATTCAGACACAGGTGCACACACACAGGTGCACACATGCACACACACAGGCTTGGTTTGCCTGCCCCTGTCCCGCATTCAGCTTGTGTGTCTGTCCTCATATTTGCAGTGTCCCTCGTAAGCGGCATATGGTTTTGTTTTTATCCAACTGCCGACGTTTACCTTTAACGGAGTATTCAGTGGGTTCCCGTTCGGTGCGCTTACGGACAGATGTCAGTTTGAACCAAGTATGTTAAATGTGCCTGGTTCCATCTGCTCTGTGCTCCCTTTTCTCTCCTTTCGTGTCGTCTTCAGGGTCCGGTAATTTTGGTGCCATCCTCGCCGGGCATGCTTAGTTGCGTGGTCCTGGCCCGTCGTTGGCTCCACCCCCGGAAGCGGCGAGGTATGTCCCGCTTCGACCACGCTGAACGAGGGCAGCGGTGCGCTCCTGGGGGTCTCCCCTCCAGCATCGCCTCCTTCTCGAAGGGCCCTTGCCATCTGTCCCGTCCCATCAGGGCGGGTCCTCCGACGGCCTCGCTCTGAAGGGGGTTTCCGCCGACGCACACAGGCCATCTTTACGTCGTCCTGAGGCCTCTTCTCTGGCGTCTGTCTTCCGTGCGGAGGAGTGAGGTCCTGTTGGTCGGTGGAGCGAAGGGCTCCTTCGGCCTCAGAAAACCCTCCGCCGTGACGCCTCCAGGTGCTCTCCCGCCGGCGCCCCCGCCCCCGCCGCGGCCCGCGGCCTCCACGCAGACCCCTCTCGCTCCCCTCCCGGTCTCGTCTGCCGAAACTCACGCGGCCTCCTCGGGTCCAGTGGCCGCGCCCCTCCACCCCAGAACGGCACCGGGTTCTTTCCAGGGTCCCGGCTCCCTGCGCTCACCCCCACCTTCCCTTTGCTGGGGCGCCGTCGTGATTCAAGCTCCCACCCTGGCTGGCTCTCCTGGGGGCCTGTCTCACCTCTGCTCTCCTGCCTGCACTGCGGTCCGTCCTGGCCATTTTGTTCACCTGCTCAGCCTGAATCGTAGGCCCTCGGCGAGCTCACCTTCCTCAGGGAGCGGCTTCTGCCTCCAGCAGTCCTCAGGGAAAACCCTGGGTCTCAGCCCCGCCCGGCGGCCTGTCTCTGACCCCGCCCTTGCTCTGGGCTGCAGCCCCCCCCTGGGGGGGGGGGGGGCCCGGTCGGCCACCCTGTAGTTGTCACTGCCTGGGGCTGGGCGCCCCGGCCCTCTGGGCTTCTGTCCTGCTAGCCCCCAACAGCCACCCTGTCGTTCTCTTTTGTGTCATTCAGCAGTGGAAGAATCTGGCAGAGTCGTCCCACCGTCCGTCCGTCCGTCCCTCGGAAGGAACCTGCGAGGCGCTAAGACTTCAGCCCCAGGGCAAGCGGGCCAAGGGAGGACTCCACGCAGCCGGCAGGGGCCCCGCTCCACCCTTCAGCCCCGCTGTCCTCGAAGCCCTGGGCCCTGAGGCTTTGGGCCAACTAGGGACCAAACCGCCACAGATGCCGCCGGGCCCCATACGCCTGGAAGGGGTGTCCTTCCTCCAGGAGGGCACGGGTAACCACAGAGGACAGTGCCGGGGACCCACCCCAGCCCGGGGCCGCTTGGAGCACACTCACCTGGTGGTCCTGGTGGGCCCACTTCTCCTTTGTCACCCTTCGGTCCAGGAGGCCCCTGGTACCCTGGAGGGACAGAGACCCAGGAGTGCCCATCATCGAGCTGTGACAGGGCCCTTGGGCCATGCCCCTGTGCCCCGCTCACCCCCAGCCCTTGTGAGTGCTGCGTGCACTAGCCTGGACGGGGGAGGAGCACCACACGAGTTTGGGAGCCTTCAGAGCAAGAGCTTTTGTTGAGCAGAAGCACTCGGGGGTCCCACCCAAGGGGCTGCCCCTGGAGGCCACACCACTCCCGCGGGGCGGGCGCGGGCTGACAGAGCAGGCCCGGGCAGGGGGCAGATCTAAATTCCGCACGCGAGTGGGCGTCTACTCAGTGTCCGGGGCTGTCCCCCGCGAGGCTGCCAGGACGGCCGTGCTGGGACGACCCGGGAGGTCCCGCGAGAGGCCCGTGATCACTCTGGAGCAGGGGACATGGGCCAACGAGGCATTCCTGCTTCCCCTGGAGCCCAGGCTCACAGGAGGAAGTCCTGCGGCATCCAGCATCCCCAAGAGAAGCCACCGCCCCAGCCACCGCGAGGCCCCAGGGGCCCTCACCTGGCAATCCTGGAGGTCCAGGGCGGCCAGACTCCATGAAGGCCTGCAAAGAAGCTGGCCAGTGAGGCGAGGGGCTCTGCGGATTGAGGGCAGCACCACCCCAGCGGTCTCTGAGCCCGGGGCCCCAGCCCTCTGTGAGGCCACACAGACACCAGTCCCCCGTAGGAGCATGGGGAGGGGGAGGGGGAGGAGACGGGGGTTTGGAATCAAGAGCCCTGATTGTGATATGACCTGCCCCTTAGGAGTCACTTCATGTGGCTGAACCTTGTAAAACAGGGGTGTCTGCCCCCCAGGACCACATGGCTCGAGGTTCAGGCTCCCAGATGCAGAGAACCCTCACTTCCCCAGGTGGGGTTTGTTTTCTAATGGAGTACTGGCCAGCCCCCTGCCAGAAATTGGGGTGTCCCCTCCCTGGGAGAGGCTGACCCCTCCAGGGGGTGGCTGGTGGATAGGGCCTGTGAGGAGGGGAGTGGGGGTACTCACGTTGCTGTCATAGACGGGAGTCCCGGGAGGGCCTGGGGGTCCTGGAGGCCCCGGGGGACCGGGTGGGCCCTGCATGGGGAAGACAGAACACGAGGTCAGTCACGTTCACAGCCAGGCCGTGGATGTGACCAGGGCAGCAGATGTGAGGGGGAATATTTCACTAAATATCTCACTAAAATCAGAAAACTGAACGTGTGTGACAGCATATAATCAGGAAGCATCCAGTCTGGTTGTGGCTGTGGGGCCCCCAAGCACAGCTGCCCCTTTCAGAACGTGCCTGGGGGACGTGGAGAGGGCGACAGGACTGGCGGGGAGCACGGAGACTAACGCAGAGTCTGGGAGCTCATCTGTGTATTTCCACGTTCAAGGCAGAGCCCCAGGAGGCCCAGAGGCCAGCAGGCTGAGCCCATGTGTGAACTTTCATCTACTTCTTCACAGAAAGAGAAGAGACAGCCACCCAGGCGGCGTGCAAAGCACTCATTCTGGCAGTGACCTGCTTACTGGACAAAGCACCAGCCTGTGTAACTCCCGCTGCGTCAGGAGTGAGACCAGGGCCAGTGAGGTCGTGCAAACCTCAGGACCCGGCCCCGCCTGCCCTGCGGTCGCCTCCTTGCAGTGCCCCACTGAGGCCAAGGACAGAGGGACTGGAGGCAGCACAGAGGTGGGGTGTCGGGCCCCCAGAGGAGCCGCTGGAGGCGGAGCCCTGTCCCAGCAGACTCCACGGGGCACACATGCGCCCTTAGGTCAGAACTGACTCGCCGTCTGCCCTTAGGTCAGAGGTGCGGAAAGGATCCCGGCGCCTGTCTTGCTTGTTGAGGCCCGCGACCCGTCTTTGTGTCACTACTTCAGATCGCCGCGAGATGTCACCTCCTGCCTCTTGAGTTTTCACGAGGCAGCAGCCACATTGAGGCCACGGGAAGAAGGAGCCACGATGAAGAACCAGCAGTGATGGCAAAAGCAGAAAAGTGGGGACCGTCTGACACGCTGGCCTCGGGACCCCACGCCCCGGCCCGGGCCGTGGGAGCAAAGTCACCGAGTGCACCTGGCAGCTGGCTGGGTGCCCGGCCGCGGGATCGGGAGCAGGTCCCGTGTCTGGAGGCCCCCTCTTAGGGAGAAACGGATAAAAACACCCAGGCTACCAACATAAACCCTGCTCAGAAGCCGGTGAGGCGCTGAGAGTCAGGCTGTGGTGCTGAGTGAGGGGGCCCACGCGGCCGTGCCCTTCCAGAAGAGCCACTCAGGGCCCCTGTCCCCGCAGCTCAGCTGGAGTGTGCGCGCACATGTGTGGGGTCCTCGTGCCAGAGGACCGGCCCGGTGTGGTCACGGCGCAGGGCCCTCCACGCCCCTGGGCGTCCCAGCCACGCCGTCCGCCCCTTGGGGGACACTCACCCTCACACCAAAGCCGACGCTGGCATGTCCTGGCTCCCCTTTCTCGCCTTTCAGTCCGTTCATCCCGGGGCGACCCTGGGGCAGGGCACAGGGGCGGTCACTGCCGGAGCTGGCTCACGCCAGCCTGGCCAGCTCTCGGTCCCCGCCCAGGGTCTCCTAGGGCGCCAGCCCCTCTGGCCCGAGCCGCCCACAAACGGGCTGGGCAGCCCTAGGCTTCGTCCTGGAGAAGCCGTCCCTAGGCGGGGTGGTCCCTGGGGGCAGGGCAGGGGGAGGAACTGTGGTCTGCGGCCCCCTAGGCCCCCAGGGGCCAGGCCCGAACGAGATCCTGGGTCCTTACCGGCCGCCCAGGGAAGCCAATCTCCCCTTTGTGCCCCGGCCGTCCATATGGACCCTGCAGGAAGGAGGAGTGCCTTTCAGGAGAGCAGAGGCCGGCGTCTGCCGTGGCCTCCCGCCCGACACCTGCCTCCGTGTTCGCCAAGCACGCCCGGGTGTACGCTCGGGCCACCACGCCCGCTCAGCGGCCAGGCCGTCACGGCGCCTCGTGTTCTGTCACACCGCGCGCGTGTTCGCGGTGGGAGGCGTGCGCCTACTCACCGGCGGTCCTCGGAAGCCGGGCTCTCCCTGAACAGGAAACCAGAAGGCGCCGTCAGATGGCCGGCGGGGCAGTGCCCGAGGGGCTCCGACCGTGCCAGGGACGGAAGGAAACGGCAGAGGGAGCATGCTCTAGATGGGGGTTTTTGTCCCCAGGGAGCACGGACGAGGCCTGCCGTGGGGGCCCCCCCGACCTCGGGGCCGGCCTGAGTTCTCTGGGCCCTGAGATCTAAGGTCCCACTGCCCATCCCAGACAACCCTGGGAGACTTCAGGGCCCCTCCGGGCCTGTCCCCCACGGCCACTGAATCTGGGTCCAAGTCCTCCCCGCACCCTCTCAGGGCCTGTCTGGGGGTGGGGGCTGAGGGAGGAGGGCCGGGACCCCTCCACGGTGGCAGCACCCAGAGGCAGAGGGGCAGCTGCATCCTCAGGGAGGGGCGTCTGCAGGTGAGGCCCCTGCTGAGTCCCCCTCCTCCAGAGCCCCCAGCCCCGTGGCAGGGCGGGCTCAGCTGACAGGCAGGGGATACCCAGGGGCCGGCTGGGTGGTGGCCAACCCAGGCGTACGGGCTCTGACCCTCCCAGTGCGGCACTGAGAGAGGGACAGACAGGGAAGGGCGAGGGGCCCAGCCTACAGAAGTTTCCAGAGCCCTCTCAGGAACCGCGCCGCCCGGCCCCCCCGCCCCAGCCCCCGGCCTGGACAAAGGTGAGCAATCCCAGGCACCGGGCTCACCTTGGCTCCTTTCTGGGCAGGGCCCAGCATGCCGCCATCGGGGCTGAAGACTGGGCCCGGCTCGCCCTTCTCGCCCTGGAACAGCGGGGGTGACGGCATGAGGCCGGCTCTGGGGAAGGGAGGGCCCTCGACTCCCACAGTAAAGCCCCAACTCGGGGCATGAACACCAACCCCGGAGCAGGTGCATGGTGAGCGGGGTCCTCCCCTCCCTGGGCTCTGCCGTGGGGTGGTCTCCGCGGGGACTCCATGGGTCACAGTGAGGTGACCGTGAAGAGAACCGGCATCAGACTCGGTCAGGGCTCTCGTGTCCCCATCGCCCCCCCAGGGTCACAGAGCAGATGGTGCCTGAGACTCTCACCTTGGGTCCCGGGGGGCCCCGCTGGCCTTTGGAGCCCAGATCTCCCTTTGGCCCGGCCGGTCCCTATGAGGAGACAGGAATGAGGGCCACGCGAGGCACCCTGTCCCACCGCGGCCGCCTGGGCACACCTGCCTCCTCGTCCTGACCCACACCCCGAGACCCCGCCCTGGTCCCTGGGGGCTTCTGCGCAGGAGCCTGAAGGTTCCCCGGCTCTGCGGGCACCCTCCGGCACTGGGCTCACCAGGGGCTCGGGGCCGGTGCGAGGAGGGCCGAGGGGCGACTTACAGGAAAGCCCGCGTACCCCGGCCGGCCCTGCGGAAGAGAGGGGCCGGGTCAGCTCGGGGCGGGCGCGGAGCCGGCTGTGGCTCCCCCCTGGGACGGCGTGCACGTACCTCAGGTCCCGGCACGCCTGCCACCGCTCTCTGTCCACGGGCCGGCGGAAACACAGGCCGGAGGAGGAAAAAGGAAAACACGTTAGAGTTAAAGCCCAGCTCGCCTCACGGGCCCAAGGAAACAGCACGGCAATCAATGCCCAAGAAAAACTGTGTTCACTCGCCGTCCTGGCTTTGGCCTCAGGTCCCTCAGATCAGGCACTGGAGAAGCTTCCAGAGACCCCGGGGCCAGAGCGGACTGCCGGCATCTGGGAACCCAGGGGGTTCTGATGGGGCAGCTCAGAGGCTGAGGACACGAGGGTCTCAGTGGGAGAGGCCTTGCTCCATTTAGATTTTCTGCTATAGAATTTCCATTTCTCTCCGGTCACCCACTGCCATAACTTTTTTCTCATTCAAATAATTTAAAAGTCTCACCATAATGAGACACCATCGCTGGTCCAGAATAGAACCAAGTGGAAACCCTGGAGTCTTTAGGGGGCACCCGAGGTGGGGGGGAGCCGACGTGGGGTCAGGGACCGGGCTGGCACCCGCCGTGGCCAGTGCCAGGGGGAGGGCCGGGCACAGCGCCTGCCCACCCACGCAGTGTTCTTACGTCCTGCTCCGACACGTAGACGACAGGTCCCGGGGGCCCGGGGGGTCCGGGGAGGCCAGGCTGCCCCACTCCATCCCTCCCTGGGTCACCCTGGAAGAGAAAGCCGGTGTCTGACTCTCAGATGGCTCGCGGGGGCCTCCAGATTGTCCGGGCAGCCCTGGAAGGGACCCCACGCCCACCCAGGGCTCGGAAGGGGTTCCTGGCGCCCACAGGGTGTGAGGAGGCGCCTGGGCTGGGGACGGCAGTGCTGAGGGCCCCACCTCCCGGCAGGGCAGGCTCTGAGCCAGCACCCCTCAAGGCTTGGCCACGCACGTGCCCGGCCCGCAGACTCCGAGCCCCACTCACTTTCTCTCCCTGGGTCCCTTTTTCTCCTTTGGGTCCCTGCAAAGATGGAAACAGTTCATCTCAAACAGAGCCTGAGCCCCCTTCCTGGAGACCCCACACCACCAGCAGCGGCTCTGAATGGAGACGTAGAGAGTTCTTCCTGGGAAAGGGGGCTGAGCCAGGCAGGAAGCCTGGCGGGCAGCCTGGACCCCCGGCCCACGGCCCACGGAGCCGGGGTCTCTGAGCCCTGTGGGGTACAGAGCACTGGTCAGGACCCCGAGACCACACCGAGGTGTCAGCCTCATCAGCCGCTCGGGTGGCCCGCTCCCCCACCCCAAGCGTTCCTAGTGGTCGTGCACCTGGGCTCCGGCTGTGCCCTCTCTGCCAGGGAGGCCGGGGAACCCGGGAGGTCCATCGGCTCCGACTTCTCCCTGTACCCGACACAGGAGGAGACGAGCGTCAGCCCACCGCCCAGCAAAGCCTGGCGTCCGGGGAGGTGAGCAGGCCGGGGCTTCTGTGGGTCACCAGCTCACGCCCCTGGCAGCAACTTGGCCCAGTCGGCTTCCAGCCTCCTTAGGAGCCTCAAGGGGCAGAGGGGGAGGGGACTATGGTTGGACAGACTCCTGTGGTTCCCAAGGTTTCCACCCTGGAGCCAGGAGGAAGCCTGTCCTGTGACCTGGGGCGGCGGGCAGGTGTCCTGGGGGTGGGTGTCCTCAGGACAGGCACGTCTTGCAGTCTAAGGAGTGGAGGCCGAGCCCAGACGGCACCAGGAAGAACCAGAGGGAGAGTGAGCCTGGGCCTGGCCTTGGAAGTCACTGCACGCGGACCTCCCCCCGAGTTACCATGGTTCCAGGGGACCGGGGCCGTGCGGCTGAGGGGGCCCCTGCCTGCTCCTGACTGGGACGGGTCAAGATCACGGATTCTCTGACCCCGAGAAAAGGCTCTTTCTTACCTTGGCGCCTGGTGGTCCGGCTATTCCAGGGTCCCCCTAGAGCGGGTGAAGGGGCTCTGTGAGCGCGAGTGTGGCAGCCTGCCCCCACAGTGGTGGCGTCCATGCTGCCTTCTCCTCCTCCAGGGCCAGCCCAGAGCAGAGGGTCCCAGGGACACCGGGCCAGCTGTGCAGGCAGCTAACACATGCAGCCTAGACTGTTCTGGAAGCTGCCCCATCAGTTTGCTCCAAGGAGCACTCCACCAGACGACTTCATTTTAAGGAAGTGAGTGTGTCTTTCTAAAATACAATCTTCTACCACAACCCAAAGTTCTAAAGCAAAGCAAAACACTCTAAAAGGAACATTCATCACAGGACCGTAACACATCGCCTGGTGGGCCCTGTGCGCCCTTGAACCCGTGTGTCTGTGGGGAGCGTGGCGTGCCCTCCCAGCCTGGCCACCCATGGGGAGGGGTGGGGGCTGGTGTCCTCCAGGGACAGGGTAGGACAGCAGAGCCAAGCAGGGAGGCGGGGGGAGTCCCAGGGCGCCTCACCCCCCACCGCCCCAGAGCCTGGGAGGCGTGGCAGGGGCAGGTTCCTCTGTACCCCCGGGTTGGCAAGCCCCCTTCGGACGCATGAAGCCGGGGACCCTGCGGCTTTAGAAGGATGGGAGGAGTGCCCCCCAACACGGAAGCTCGGGGTGGGTGGTGCCTGACTGTTTCCCCGTGTTTCTCCCATCTCCCGCGGTGAACTCCTGCTACCCCCAGGCCCCGCTGAAACGGTAACTCCTAGTCGGGGGGGGGGGGGGGGGCGCTCACTGACCTTGACCCCCGGCAGGCCTGGTGGTCCCTGTGGGGCAGAGAAGGAACAGAGCCT